CAGAAGGGTCACGAAAGACCACCAGAAAACATATTTTCTGTGGTTATGGGGGTTCTGTGTGGGAAGTTTGGCCCAATTGTATTGTTGGTGGGGTTTGACTTTAGGTGAACTATAAATCCCAGTAACTACAACTCCCAAATGTCAAGATCTATATCCCCCAAACTCCATCTGTGTTCATATTTGGGCATACGGAATATTAGTACCAAGTTTGATCCAGATCCATCACTGTTTGAGTCCAAAGTGCTCTCTGGATGTAGGTGAACTACAACTTCCAAACTCAAGGTCAATGCCCACTAAACCCTTCTAGTGTTTTCTTTTGGTCTTGGGAGTCCTGTGTGCTAAGTCTGGACTAATTCCATCATTGGTGAAGTTCAGAATGCTCTTTGATTGCAGGTTAACTATAAATCCCAGCAACTACAACTCCCAAATGACAAAATCAATTTTTTTGAGTGATGGTCACTCGTTGGCCTGATAGGTGTATTGTGTCCAAATTTGGCGGCAATTCGCCCAGTGGTTTTTGAATTTTGTTAATCCCACAAATGAACATTACATTTTTATTTATATAGACTTATTTATTTCGAACATTTTTACCCCGCCCTTCTCAACCCCTGGGGGGACTCAGAGCGGCTTCCAATTGACAACAATTCGATGCCTCATAATAAAATACAAAACACCAATAAATATAATTGTTAAAAGCATAAAAACATTACAACATAAAACATGAAAGCAATATACTTACAGTGTATTGAGCTATTACTAGTCTGGTATCCATTTATCTAGCCGTATACTATGATTGAGTTTAACTTATCCATAATCCATTTGCAAGCCATTGTCAACATTGTCATTTATTTATTTATTTATTTATTTATTTATTTATTTCTGTCACTTTTACCCCGCCCTTCTCACCCCCTAGGGGGGACTCAGGGCGGCTTACAGAGAAAGGCACAATTCGTTGCCTTGTCACATATACATACATATATAAAAACTATTAAGCAATTACAAATTAAAAATTAAATCATCAATACACAGTAATACTAAAAACACAGTAGTATGCTAATCCTGAGCTCAGCGTTCGGAGTTCCGTAAATCCATTCCGTCTTGTCCAATTCCAGCTCGTCATCAAGTCATTCTTTAACTGCCTGAATGTCCAAATGCCTGGTCCCACATCCAGGTCTTCAACCTCTTCCTAAATGAAAGAAGGGACGTTGCCGATCTAATCTCCCCGGGGAGTGAGTTCCACAGGCGGGGGGCCACCACCGAGAAGGCCCTGCTCCTCGTCCCCGCCAATCTCACTTGTGATAGAGGCGGGGTCGAGAGCAGGGCCTCCCCAGAGGATCTTAGGTTCCGAGGTGGGACGTAGAGGGAGATCCGTTTGGATAGATACACTGGGCCGGAACCGTTTAGGGTTTTGTAGGTCAAAACCAGCACTTTGAATTGTGCTCGGAATTGGATCGGCAGCCAGTGGAGCTGACACAACAGCTAATTGTCCTTTAGAGGCCCCTTTCAAATCTATGATACCATATCTCTCTCTCTCTGTGTGTGTGTGGATCATATATATCAATCTATATCTATGGCTGGATGGCTCTTTGTCAGGAGGGCTTTGATTACGTTTTCTTGCCCTGGTAAAGGGAGTTGGACTGGATGGCCTTAAGTATTTTCTGTTAGTTATGGGGGTTCTGTGTGGAAAGTTTGGCCCAATTCTGTTGTTCGTGGGGTTCAGAATGCTTTTTGATTGTAGGAGAACGATACATCCCAGTAACTACAACTCCCAAATGTCAACGTCTATTTCCCCCAAACTCCCTCTGCATTCATATTTGGGCATATGGAGTATTTGTGCCAAGTTTGGTCCAGATCCGTCATTGTTTGAGTCCACAGTGCTCTCTGGATGTGGATGAACTACAACTCCAAAGCGCAAGGTCAATCCCCACCAAACACTTCCAGTACTTTCTCTTGGTTATGGGAGTTCTGTGTGCCAAGTTTGGTTCAATTCCATCATTGTTGGAGTTCAGAATTCTCTTTGATTGTAGATGAACTATAAATCCCAGCAACTACAACTCCCAAATGACAAAATTAATTTTTTTTTGAGTGATGGTCGCTTAGTAAGTGTCTTGTGGCCAAATTTGGCAGCAATTTGTCCAGTGGCTTTTGAGTTATGTCAATCCAACAAATGAACATTACATTTTTATTTATATAGACTAGCCATCCCCTGCCGTGTGTTGTTGTGCCGCAGTCTGTGTATGTGTGTTTTGTGTGTGTATATATGTGGTTTTGCCCATGCATTGAAATGTCATTTTTTTTTGGCTTTTTAAGTCTCTTCTGCTGTGCTTTTCAAGTGTTTTTATGAGTGATAGTCACTCATTGGCCTGAGAAGTGCCTTGTGTCCAAATTTGGTGTCAATTCTTCCAGTGGTTTTTGAGTTTTGTTAATCCCACAAACGAACTTTTCATTTTTATTTATATAGACAAGCCATCCCCTGCCACACGTTGCTGTGGCCCAGTTT